ATGATAGAGCGAAGCAATTCAATAAATTTAGAATGCTTAGTACAAAACCTGTATTTGCCAAAATGGTTGGCTATGTACGTACGTACGTACATAATTTGGCCGCATCACATGATTACATAATAAAAATATCAAATTTGGCCGCATTACGTAATATTTCATATTTGGCCGCTAAAAAATTTATTGGTCGGGACTAGGTTGTCTGCGCTGTACTCTAATCTGACGATCATTGTTACACAAATCTGCTATATCATGTGATTGCGCAAAATTTTTGGAGGTGTTCTTGGGGTAGTTCTCACAACGTGGCACATCACTATTCCTAATGCCTATACTTCTTGACTCATTTGACTGTTTTTAACCATTTACCTGGGCGTGCATATTTCGTTTACATTATTATTGTTCCTAAATTCTATACTAAGTGTACTTTGATATTATCATTTTGATGTTTGGTTTTGAGGCTGTCTTTTTGATTTGATATGTAATAGTAAATTTACTTCTTTAGTTTAGAGGTTTCACAAATCTCAATCAGTGGGCATGTCCATCCTTGTACTGTACTATATATATCAATAGCGATAGTAATTAAAAAATGATATTCAATTTACTATGACAGTATGAATTGAAGGAAATGATTTTTTCCATGGTACAGAGAAGTTGTGATTACTATAAGTATTTTAACTTTATACAGTTTTTAAGGGTTAAGTGTTATATAAAAATCAGGCGATATTTGTGAATTACTAAAATTGGTCGCGAATAAGAATATACGAGAAAAACTAAAAATTTATTTTGTAGTATTTGATTGATTTGAAGATTTACAAGTTTATGTTTCGATTAAACAAAAGCTTATAAGTTTATAAAATTTATGAATATGCGCTATAAATGAATTTATAAAATTTGCGATAAATATCATTATAAATATACACGAAGTTTGAAGAACAAGGAACCCAGTGATACAAATGACGTATTGCACGATTTCACGTGATGTGGGTTCCTTGTTCTTCAAGTCTCCCTCCTTAATATATCAAACACTGTTCTATTTTTTTCTCTTGTACCTTTTGGATTCTCTCTGATTATCAATTTCGTCCAAATCACGACTTAAAGCAAAGTTCGAGCCATTAATTAATTCCAAAATGTTCTTTAAAAATTCACTGAATTCACCCGACATTGAAAAACTATTTAAATCATCATGTAATTTTATAATTTCATTATACCAATCATTCAACTCTAGATCATACCGCTTTCGTTTTTGAGTAAATGTTGAAATATTGTCAATGTCCATGTTATCTGAATAATTGGCAGAAACTCGCGATTGTTGCATAAATAATTCAGTCAAATATTGTCTTAATCCAACAATTATATCGACATGAGTAGCTTGTTTGATAATTTTCAAGTGTGATGGTTTAAAGAACTTTATAGTATCAAAATAGTATTTAAATGCATCGTTTATTTCTTTGAAATTATTATGTTCAAGTTGTTCACTTAAAATATACTTTCGTTTATTACGTTGTTGAACTAAAACATCAACATTAACTCTTTTCATCAAAATGTCTTTAAAACACAAATCCGTAATTTCAGCATCTGCTCCAAACTTATTTAATATCCAGCAATAATAAAATGCCGTGAATTTTTAAAGGTGCAAGTAGACTGTTATTATTATCATCCGATCTATTTTCAAGATCAAAGTTCATGGCTTTAAAAAAAACTTTTTCATGATCTTTGTCAATCAATGAATACAGGAAATCTAGAACATCAGTCTTTTTTAGCCTTTTGTCCAATCGAAATGTTTGAAATAATTCAATTAAACATTTATGTAAAAATTCTTCCAGTGATTCATTCAATATTTGTAAAAATGCCTTTATCCAATCTCAACCAATTGTCTTTCAATAAACAATATTTCTACAAAAACTGTATAATTCAATTCAAATCCAAACTTTATCAATTCTGAAAGTCGGTTAACTACTTCCTCAGGTTTTGGTGGTGCCCAGTTAGTTGTAGATGCTGGAGAAAAAAGCATAATAATAGCACCTTGCATGACAAATCCATTAATATCTTTACAAATACTGTGATATCCAATCTTAAGCCAATCGGACACCAAATCCGGATAAATCAATATTGCTCTGGCAATTACATTAAGCTGTCTATTATTTTCATAACCATCTTTAGCTGGATATTCTTCGGTTAAGATTTGGTTATTTTTGTTTCTTGGTCGTGGAGGGAAAGGAATAAATTTTTGGACCAATATTAAATCCTTGACCTGATCCAAATTCTTCATCATAATGGCTTTAGCTTCCTTAAGAGCATATGGACCAGCGGATAAAAAATGAAATAATTCCATGTCATTTCCCTTCAGCGAAAGTCGTGATTCACCAAATTGTTCTGCGGCCACCCTCAATATATATAAACAAACAGTGATTCCCAAGTCATTGGCCCAAGGTATATTTTGTTGAAATGAATTATTATTTGCACGTCCAGAATTGTTATTGTATTCCATTTTTAATGCAACAAGGTCTTTATCGAATTTTCCGAAATGTAAAAGAAGTCGTTGAACAAAATACTTGGATATTATAGCTTTGTTAGCGATTATAGCTCTAACAACAGCTAGAATGATAAAATTTTGACCAAATTTGATCGCACAGAAAAGTGCATGTGCATGCCCATATTTATAAATAATCCATTTGCCCTCGCTTGTTTGCATATAAAAATGATCTAAATTGATCATAACCACCTAATACCGTATAGCAAGTATATAATAACGAAATTCAAAAGTAATTTTAAAATCATAGGAAAAGGTTAGAGAAAGTATAACAGCGTAACAATAAAAATGTTGCCTTATGACAATATAATACAAAAAAAAAAGCTTTAAGACAAAGACAGAAATTTGAGGCCTTATTGAAGTGAGAAAAAGTATCAAAGAAACTAATAGTTAACCAAATTAAAATATTCTTCCAAAAATTCTATTTTCATCACCTATCAAATCAATTTTAAAGTTATCACATCATTTTCACCAGAATAGATATTGAGAAACCAGTTACAAAATTATGTGGTCCAAACTAACTCGAGTACAATTTTGGTAATATTTAACTGCACAATTTTCCGAAATAAAGGCGGCCAGTATTGAGCTAATTCCGACAAACTTTATTTCTGGATATGTTTTGTGTAAACTTAACTACAATGGTAAGAGAATACTCGTAAAGGAAAGGAGAAGTATCTCCGATATTTCCGTATTCTTATAGAAATAATTGAGATGCACCCATTTACTAGAAGCTTCAGTCCGACACAATGTTTAACTTTCTATATATCATTGAGATGTGCATGCATCAAATAGTAATTATGATAGTGCAGATTTGACTTTAAGAAAGATAATTTTTGACTAGAACAGTATCAATAACCAGTAAAACTGTACAGTAGTACAATTCAGGAAGGTGTGGAAAATTATACGTTTAATAAGATTTATCTATAAGAAACTACTCCTCTTATAGTTAGGATTGGTTCTTTTCATACTTCAGTACTTCAATAACGGGCGTAGATTTTCGCATGTACAGTGTACATACATGCTAATACAGTAATATGTTCTAATACATTTGCAATTTTTTTCTGTACTACTTCTCAATGACACAATATGAGATAGTTACACGCGGTGGCTGTGTGGGTGGCTAAACTAAGTATAGTAATACAAAAAATGCAAGCCCACTTCACTTTTCTTTTTTTTCTGTGGGAACAATATTGCAATATAATTTTTGCCTTTTTTTTAAATTCCGAAAAAAATATTTAATCCGCGGTAAAGTTTTATTTCCTTCAAAAAAATTTATCCTTACATTTTTTTACTATAATTTTAACTCAATCAATTTTTTTTTGCCAATTTTTCACTAAACTTTTAACTAAATCAAATATTTTTTCATTAAACTTTTAATTCAATTAATATATTTTTCACTAAACATTTAATTCAATCAATATGATAGCATTACCAAACGAATGTTTATTCGAATTATTTATTCATCTTAATAAAGAAGACCTGTTGGCTTATAATAATAGAATCTTTTTTTAATCATTACTCCCGATGCGATGATCAAACATTATGCACAAAAATTAATAAGATGCTTATATTCACCTTTAAAATTTTCGAAATGCATACAATTGATATTTAACGTTAAGGTTTTTTGCCGGTCATTTTCTAGTTCAACTAAATAGTGCGGAAAATTTTAAGGTTATGGACCAGTACGTTATAATGTTACACTAAACTAATGCATGAAAATCATTTTCCCCATAATATGTATAGAATATTTGATCATGCATCGATTGAACGAATTTTGTGATATTTATCAATATTTGTGTTATCCGGCAATTCATGATCATGATTCTTAAGTCGTCATTGGCTAACTGAGTTTTAATTCGAATAAACATGATTACGACATGACACACAAAAAATAACAAAAAGAAATAGATCTATGATCATAAGAGTTTGCCGGATAAAGTAACATTATCTAACGCAAGTAAACGACATTACTGAAGTAACTTTATATAAATCATTTTATTATAAAAAAAAAAAAAACTTAAGAATTAACTTTCATATAATATCTCATAAATTTGATTTGCATAAGTAACCGAATATCAATGAATTAATACAAAATTAATTTGTCCGTCTGTATAATACATGTAGTTACAAACTTAAGAAAATTTAAGAACTAATAATTATAATCCAAAGATATCTTAAACTATAGTTCATAATCCAAAGAAAGTAAATGTAGTTAATCGTAAGATGCTTGTTAATTAACAAATAATAAATGAACAAGAAATTGTTAATACTACATGCATAATACCGATATGAAATTATAAAATAAAAACATACTGAAAACTAAAGAAATGTTATAAATAATTGGTATTCAAAAGAAGTGATCTTGATAAACTTTTGATAATATTAGTTTTTCTCCTAAAAGATTCTTTAGTTTAAAGGTTTCAATTATATGATTTAGTTAAAGGATAGGCCTGAAAATATTGTGATTGAAAATTGGTCATTCTGGGAGGGAATTGTTTGATTTTCTACCCTTTGCTCTCCAGAAAATGTTTTTACACCTTCAATCAACTCTGTATAACGTTGGTCAATGTCGTTAGCGTTGTTAGTTGAATTTACGGTAATTCTAATATTTTGAAGTCTTTGAATTGGTTGAGGATTCATGATGGTGAAGTATTTGTATTATGCTAATACTTTATTTGACTTTTTGTTAGTTTTTGTTATTTTTTTTCAAATGATTGTTTTTTTTTTTTTTTTTTTTGAAAGGCCAAGTTGATTAGGGATTAAGGATTTATATATGTTTTGAGATTGCAACTATTTTATGGATCAAGTAGAATCATAGAATTGATAATTTGATAATATTAATGGATGATTAACTTGGTCACGTTTTTACAATGTGTTATATAAATATAAACTGATATTTATTTTTACTAAGATAAATTTAGTTTCGTTTAAAGCAGTCAACATACTTAAAAATTAGGTTTAAATGTATGTTAAATGCACCGTTAATGTAGTGTGTTCACCATTTAGTTGTTAAACAGATTTTCTGAATTATTAATTAATATTTTGGTTTAACAAAATTATATTTGTAACGCAAAAATTACGCACAGATATTGTTTCAAGATATAGAAAGGTTATAGATCCGAAATGTAACAAAACGTTAACTTACTTCTATCTGCAAATAATTTCCATGTGGAATTACGAATATGTATGTACAACAGTCTATTAAAAATATTTGTTATTAATTTTAGAAATAAACATCCTATTTTTGTTTTGTTATCAATAAAGATAAAACTAAACATAGTTTTGAAACAACGTTAATCATATTTAAAATGATAAAACTTTTGATCATAATTTAATTATTATTATTTAATAATAGTATTATATTAAATGTTAGGGGGGAAATTTTATGCGTTTAAAGTTATCTAATCAAATAGGTTAATATGTTACTCAATAAGAGGACACATAGATAAGCTGATGCACCGTTTATTCGGACGCATTTATAAATCACACACATATATATATATATATGGAAATTAATTAGATGGTCATAAAGTCATCGTCACTCGAAGTTTAGGAAATTTAAATTAAAGTAAGAATATGAATAATGGTCATATTAAAAAAAAAAAAGAGCCAACTTGTTTCAAACATTTAAATAAGGACGTCAATCCCCCTGAAGTAAATATTTCTGCGAATGATACAAATAATAGGAAAATCTAATGTAAAAATAAAGATTTCTAATTAGGAAAAATAATGTGTTTCTATAAATAAATTTTCATTCTCGTCATTTTTCCTATAATGCTGTTTCTCCGACTCCATAATTCCGATATCCTTTTATTCCTATAAGATCCATTTAGGATCCGTTCATTTCACCGACAGTTTAATTCATAAACAGTTATTTTACCAACAGTCATTTCCTTGACAAACTAATTCCGATCATCATCGTCAGAGTCAGATAAGAATTAGAGTTAATGTAGTGCAATGTTTTAAAAAAATTTGTTAGTAAAATGAGCTGTTGGTAAAATAAATTTGCGGTGAATTGATTTTTGGTGAAATAACTTATTACATAAAAAAGTCATATCACACAATGTGACGATTTACTAATAATATATACTTGCAACTAATAAAATGTTAAACTGTCACGTTATATGCTGTGACCTTTTACATAATAAATGATTACCTTGCCCATCCCACAGATAGGGATGGTAAAAAATCATTTTTCACCGATTTAAATAATGCGATGATTATAACCTGGATATTCCGAGGTTTAAATTTAATATATTCGGATCATAATAATCACATATTTTAAATCAGTGAAAAATGATTTTTTTTACCATCCCTAAACACAGATCTTGTTAGTAAAATGGATTGTCGGTATTACACTTCGGTGAAATAGTATTTCAGAAAAATGAATTTCAGGAAGTTTACCCGACCCGTAATCAAATTGGGATCAACAAGTCACTAATGTCGGCTGAGTATCAGATTGGTTTTAGGTGATTTTTTTTTTAGCTGTCCCAAAATTTATGATAACAATTATAAAATTAATTAAAAAAATCGACTGATAGACTAACGCTAAACAGACTATACCGATAATTTATCCTAAAGTAACGCCAAGCAGGCTATGCCAATAATTTATCCTAAAGCTTGAACAGGTTTTCTATACAAACGGATACTCTAACTATACAAGTTATCCGGTTATCTGGTTATATGTCGCACACAATTCGTGATCATGTTTTGCAAGCCTTATTGGCTGGCGGAATTTTAAATTGTTTTATATTATAACACAACAGATCAAATCCATTAGTTTTTGTACGATACATACTGTACATACATAACAATTTATTTTTACTTATGCGGGTTATCCGAAAATTATCAGTCGGATAAAATCCGGTTATCTGAGTATCTCTTTGGTCGAGTCATTACATATTAAAAAACAGGTTATTATTCATACTTTAATTATCTAGATATAGGCAAGGTAATTTACTTATTACGTAAAAAGTTATACTACACTATTCGACATTTGTCATGTTATCAGTTGTAAGTATATGAGAGCCATCAAAGAAAACCTGTTATCGGACTTTCAATGTACAGTTAGCCGTCTATGGAAATCTGTCATGACGATAGTCTTTCCGTAGACGGCAAAAATATTATTGAAAGTCCGATAACATGACATACTCATATATTATTAGTAAATTGTCGTATAGAATGATTTAATTTTTTTATATAATAAATAATTACCTTGCTCATCTCTATATTTTTTTTCTTCATCTGTTTTAAATCAGTTAAAAAGAGTTTAAACTCTAGCTATTATCGTAAATAATGATCGGCAAGGATCACCGATGTCTCTTCTTACTTCGGATTCGCACGAATAAGTGCAACCTTAAGATGCAGATAGGAATAATCCACACACGTAATTCCGAAAACGTGCATTTTGCATATCTTTAAGACAATGAATATAATGTCTAAGTGTAGTGATTGGTAAATCTAGTAAAATTAGTGATAATCTTTAATAAAGGTTTATATCAATAAAATTCATTAATATGATTAATATGGATATCAATAAAATTTAGTAATACAATTATTTAAATCGTAAACAATTATTTAAATCGTAAATAAGTATTGACGTTAAAGCGGTCCAATTTATCGGCTCCGCCCTACTTTACCGACAATCATTTCATTGACATGTCATTTGCAGATATCACTCCATGCGACAATTCACTAAAATGTATGTCTACAATTAAAGACATGCTAAATTGTCACGTTACGTGATGTCGGCAAGTGATCTGTCAGTAAAATAAAACTGTACCGAATGGATTCGTATTCGTATTATAGTATTAAGTATGTAGTGAATAAGATTATACAATTTACAGCAAGAAACAACTATGAAGTTCTTCGAAATTAGGTTTTATACATAATTAATAACATTTATTAAATTAAAAATTTAAATGACTTATTAACTTATTTGTGTACATACATTTAAACATAACTTATTTGCATACATAAACGAAGAATACACGATTAGTGCTTAAGCTAACGAATTCGAAAATACTAAAAGGAAAAAAAATAACGATATTGTCGGTGTGAAAGTATACTTCAGAAATGCCAGAAGAAAGTTACAAAAATGTGCATCAGAAATGCCAATAGAAAGAAACGAAACTACCAATAGAAAGAAACGAAACTAAAATAATTAGTCAATTTTGTAAAAGTGAAAACGAGCCTTTAAAATCTAGAAAAATTATAAAATTGAGAAATTTAGAGAAATTATAGAAGGAAAAAAAAGAAAATAATAAATAAGGAAAGAAATCATAGAAGAAGAAAAATATAAAATAATAAATAAGAAAAGAAAACATAGAAGAAAAAAAATAAAATAAAATAATAAGAAATTTCAGAAATGCCAGAAAAAAAAACAATAATTTGATATAAAAATGAAAATTGTCACATCTAAATCCGTTCTATATGACAAGTTGCAAATAAATCTATATAAAAAGTTACAATAAATCTATATAACAATATTCAAAGCGTTCTTGTCTATGAGTAGAAAGAAATCCCAGAAACAAAGCTAGTTTGTGACTGAGTAAGTGATTGATATCCCGTTGTTTTCGGTTTAGGAAAAGGATCACCTCCTTTATCTAGATTTTCATATAACTGAGAAGCATTATCCGACGATGGATTTAAGTGAGGGACATTGTTAGGAGTTTGACCCCCCAATGGTGCATTTACGGGATGGTTCGCGGGTCTATTCATGTCGAAATAATATAAATATTTTATTGTATATCGTTTATTTCTATTAATTTAACTTTCTTGTTTTTGTTTTCTTATTTCAGGTGAGAAAGTAGAGAGAAGGATAAACCTTCTTGTTTGCAAAGTATAATTTATAAATCTTTAAGTTGTAAAAAAAATTTTTAGTTTTTATTTAAGGTGAAGTAGCAAATAGAAAGGGAAATTCTAATTTGTTATAATTTATAATGTAAACTTGTAAATTTGTTTTTTATCTGGGATGAGAAGAAAAATATCGCTTTTATGCTAAATTATAATTTACCAGTATATAAATTGTGAAATATATTAATATTTTTCCATATCTGGAATACTGCGTATTAAGATATCTATCAAAAAAGTAAATTTATTATTTAGTCCTTGTGCATTTATATAATAGATATTGTTTAATAGTATTCGGCAAGTCAAAGCTTATCCGGTTTAACCGTTAAAAAAATTTTTTTTTTTTAATTGGTCATTTGCATCAATTGTCATTTGCAAAATCAACGATATTTAAAAAATATTACATAAAAAATCAAGATAAGATATTATTATCTTAAAACCGCTAGTAAAGATATGCTTATTTTCTTTTTTAAGTATATTATGCTTGATTTGGGTTAACCGAAGGTATACTTTTTTTAATACATGCATATAGTAATACACCGAATATATATTGAACAATCACATTAACGTGAGTACTTACGTATTGTACATATTCAGTAATTTCCTTTTTAAGTATGAATACATAAAATCCATTTTTGGTATATTCTAAAAATGGATAACAGTCAACAGTCACAAATAACTTATTATGTATTTAAAATTTCTTATAGCTTATTATTGATTTTTGAAAATCTTTTTTTTGTTGATTTCCCCCTTTTCTATAGCACCTAGCCCATACGTCAACAGTTGCTTCAATTAGGAACATCAGTTTTCCGGTAAAATGTAAACAGTGTATTTCAAATAACAAAAATAAATTAGTTAATTTCAGGATTATATTTGTGACTCTTCAAGATTTTCACAATTAAACATACATTTCATAATCATACAAGAATCAAAGAGCACAATTTTAAATAATTCAAAATCCAATTACATACGTAGCTCATTCGATTAATATTGAATATTATTGTAGAAGAAATTATTTTATACAGAATCTATTCTTTGAACGAATACTGTCGTTTAAATTATCGTTCGACTCCATGCGGTTCAAAATTGTGCCAATATAATATTTGGTGAAACCTGACAGATAGTATTACATCAATTATGTGTAATATCAACTAAAAAACCTTTATGAAGGTTATAAGTAAGTAAACTTAAACAAAATTATTTGATTAACACAAATAAAAGGGTAAATTCCTACCGAAATGTCTAACAACATCATATTTCCATCCATAACTTTGGGTTAATTATTCAGCAAGAAATCTCTTAATTAATGATATTCGGTTTATTTTGTGCGTACAGAATAAAATTAATAAGGCTACTATACTTCTGTTTATGCGGAGGTGTCACCGTGCAGTACGTGTGTCTCTTCCCAATAAATTAGAATGTCATAAAATTTACAAATATTTAAAAGATTGTGATGCAAGTACCCAAAACGGAAATTTTTCCTGTTTTGCAATTCTTGTTTAAATTGACATTTACTAAAAACAGCAATCAAGATAAAATCCCTTTGCACAATGCATGTGATCAAAATCTTATGTCTCAAATAAAGAAATATGTACGCATGTAAGTTAACAGGTTACTAATAATTTACTTAATCGAAAATGTTAATTAGACTATTATACCAACTATTTTTAGAAAACGCAACGACATCACTAGTAACGATGCAGTTCACAAAATTCACTTATTGAAATTATATTGAAATTAACGGAATTTCCGCTTCCATTTAAGGCAAAAAAACAAAAATCTGGCGTAATTTTAAGGGGTCGTCTATTGACAAACTTCATTTGCTATGAATTCCTAAATTTATTTTTAAAATGACACTGATAGAAAAAACCAGGTTACATCAAGTCATTAAGACTATTTGGGGCGATATTTTTTTTATAACATCGCTATTAACTAGGGATCTATATCATTATACTTATAATTTAGTAGATTGGATTATCATAGTAACTTTGCCTTTTACATATGTGAATGCTTTTTTTTCATAATGTATAATGTCAGTGTCTATGAAGTTATCAAACCATTTTTGATTCAAAATTTTTTATATAAAGTTGTAATGACGACCGCTTCTACAATTCTAGCACATCAATCAATCTTAAATTCTCTTATTTAGAATAGGTGTCATCGCCTCATTAGTTTCTATTAATTAGGTTTATAATAGAAAATATACAAGCCAGACCAATCAGACAAATATGCACGGAACATTTAAATATGTAAACAAATAACCGCAGCATTGCCATAAGACTAAAAAAAATTAAAAAATCTTATGATGACTTCAAAAATTTTAGTCATAAGGGTGTACGAATAAGTCAGCCACATCTGTGGCGAAAAATCCTTCAAAACATTAAAATATTCAAGGCAAAATAGCTCAAACCATTAAAAATTCATTACATTATCATTAATATCAAACCTTCTTAGATAAAGAATCCAAAGGAATCCTGTGAATCATTAGGTTAAAATTGGAAAAAATTCTTTCTTAGTAATATTCGATTAACATGCTATATTATTTAGATTTATATGTAGTGATGGGCAAGCGCGGGATTCCGCGCGGTGATGCACGGGATAATTCGGGCCAATGCCATAATTCCAGCCAAACTTACGGTAATCTTGGTAACAATCTGCGAATCCCGCGCGGGATTTTTGGCAAAACCGTAATTTTGCCCATCTCTATTTATATAGCTGTTACACGGATTAGGGTAACCTGAGTTTTATTGACTATTTTTGGTGTCACTAAAAGAAAACTCACGTCTGAAAAAAGATCTTTTTATAGAACGGAATGTACAACTTAGACAAATCTGATCCAGAGCTAATACAGTATAAGCTCTAGATCAGATTTGTCTAAGTTGTACATTCCGCTCTATAAAAAGATCTTTTTTTAGACGTGTGAGTTTTCTTTTAGCGACACTTATTTTATATAACGATAACATATTATTACATAAGTTTATATAATATGAATTTTTATCCAAATTAGATATGAGTGACGCAAGGAAAATTTACTTTGAGCTTTATCCCTTACTCTGTAAGCCGAATTGCCGGCACGGAGATACCCAATCACCTTCACGTTTTTAGTCCCCAAAAATTGCTTGCGCAGTTCTGCAGTTATGTAGGCAATGACAACACATACGTACATCAAAAGTCTGAAGATTATTAATATTTATACACGTCGGGCATTTAGAGGTAGTACAAGATTGTGATTTCAAAGGTCCTCCAAAAAGTGAGCGAAGAAATAAAAGGATAGAGAGGACGTGTTCCAAAAAGAATAACATTTTCCAAAGATTATCGAACAAACCGATTTGGTCCTCTTATGATACCATATACACTTAGATTAATAATTTGTCGAAAAAAATGTAAATTTGTCTGCAAAACTGAATAGGAGATAATTATTATTTAGCGTACTTGGCCCTGATCAGACATAAATAATGCATAGTTAAATCTGATTACGTATAATATATGTTGCCAAGCCCAAATAATTAATAAATATAATCAAAGCCACTCAAACTTTCTTTTGAAGTAGTGCTCCTAATGTAGTGGTTTTGAATGACTTGAAACTGACCTGGTTTAGTAAATTTATTTGTGAGTCATGACAAGTATACTAAATTTAGAATAATGATTGAGCCGAACTGCTGTAACTTGTCGTAACTTTTGCTATAAAGTTATGGCATTTTTCCGTAACTTGTTAGTTACTACATATTACAGAATAGTTACGACAAATTACGAATGCTTCATCTGCATTTCTAGTCTGTAATCAAACAGTATTTACCGACTTTTATCAGCAGCGATTCTAACAATACACAGTACTGTTGTTTTTGGTTTTTGGTCAACTTTTAAAGCGTAATAATTAATAAAAATGACATTTTCTTTCAAATAAATGTTTAAAATTCACATGAACGAGATATGATGATAAAAAATTTATTATTTCATGAATACTATACGAACTAGTATTAGAAATAATGAAAATTTAATTATTAATTTTGTCAAATCAAGGTTTTTTAACAGAATAATCAATAAACCAATTTCATCAAACTGACTCGTACAGGTCAACCCACATCTCGATAGTTAAACATACATTACAGGGATGTTAAACTGGTTAAATTTATTATACAACCTAACTAGTTAAATTTTTTAACATTCCTAGTATATTATATATATGCATTAAATAATAGTTATATCCTGGGTAATTGGGTATAGGCGGAAATGAAATTTCGCTTATACCTAACTACTAGTCAGCAGACATGTCTGTTACAATTGCATACGTATTGTTAGAGGGAAATCCGGTTAAAGCCATTGCATAACGATCGTCGGAAACGTGACCGAAACGTGACCGGAATCGTAATCTAGATCGTGACCCAAATCAGCGATCGTGTAACCCGATTTCTCCCCATTGTATGCAAGAGAAGCCCTAAGATTCGGAACAAGCACCCACGATTGTAAGCCTGGGCCCCACATGCGACAATCGTCGCTAAACCTAAAAAGGAAGAAAGACTTAGTAGAACCACCACGACGCGCAACAGGAAAAGGGTGTGATACTTACTTTCACGGGCTTACAACAGAGCCTTCAACCCGCAAAGACATTTAGGGAGATGCAGCTGTAGCTCTATCGGTGGGACCTATGAAAAGAGAAGGTAATTAAAAAACGGAATCATAAGTTAAAAGGTGGGATTGTACAATTAACAGAAAAGGAAACATTGGTGCAAGAAAGGGAGAATGTTCTCAAGCATACTTTCCTTATAATTCATTATAAAAGCCTTCCATTTTGATGTTAAGTGGGATGGGACCCCTCTGCTTCCCATATTCCTGAAACTTAAAGAAAATTATAATAAATTAATAATAAATAAAAACATTTATAAAATATAAAAAATGTCAAGAGTGTAATAGACATAAAATGTTCATTTGAAAAGTCTCTATATGTGCCCAATAACTTACTCGAGAGTCATCTTAGCCATTGTCAAATCATATCTGCCTCATCTTGCTTTCGAGTAACATTATGCAATGTCAATAATTCTGAAACGACAATCCATGGCAGTTGCTCCATCCTAGGATTCACCCCAGTAACCCATAACAATTTGGTAGTAACTGTAAAATATGTAATGCTGAATCATAGTATAATGATGTCTCTATACCTCCTTCTTTCCGATATAAAAAAAAGAAAAAAGGAAACAGATAAGAACTAAAAGAAAGAAAGGAAAATAAAAAGTTAGTTTTAATAAAAAATAAAAGAAAAGAATTGAAAAGGTTAAGTCATCCTGGCTGAAACACTGTGTCCAAAGATGGAAAGAAAAGAGAGCTTAGGAAGTACTAACAGATTCTGAACTGTTTTGAGGAAACCTATTGTTAGAAAAAGTAAAAAGAAAGAAAATTGAAATAGAAAAAATTAAGTCGCCTGGCTGAAGTATTGCACCTAAAAGACAGAAAAAAAAGAGAAATATTAGAATTACAATAGAAATAGGTTATCAGAATGAACTATAACGAAGAATAGAATGATAACTACCCCTAAGATGACCATAATGAAAGAAGTCAAACATCTATGAAACCATATCACCATATGAATAAAAACAACACCTGCTTCTACCAAAACCAAGAGCCTATTTAAGTCATCTTGAGAAAAATTGCTGCCACTTTTTGAGAAGCCATCATTGGAGTTGCTGCTACTGCCCACCCATCAGAAAGAGAAACTAACCTGGTCTCTGTAGAGAATTTTAAAGAAAAAGAGAAAGAAGATCCTCTCGAATGAATTGAAACCTTTGACCATGCTGCTGATGCCAACAATTGGTCCCTTGAGTGAAAAATCAAAATAGCCTCTGGTTACCTTTATGGTATTACTGCCAATTGATATGACAGAGTAAAGGAAGACCTTGAATATTAGGATAACTAACATATACTAGACATAAGCTTCGTTCTTCTGTTTGTATATTACTTTGTCACCCTGAACATTAACACAAATGGCAGGTAGATCTTAATGCTCTGGACCAAAAAGAAAATGAACAGGTTGATATATATTCCTACAAATTTCAAAAACTCCTCTGACACATAGATCCAGAAAATTAACTGTCCCAACCTTACATAGTGTATATGTTCTTGAGAGACTTAAAGGTGAAAATTGCATCTTTTTAAGCATTTTCAAACCACCAACCTTAGAGCAAGTGGCAGAAAAGGTCTGAAAAATCGAAGTTGGAGAATATTATAGTGAAAAAAAATATAAAAGCAATGAAAGAGAACATTTAGAAAGTAACATAGATGATTTAAATAAATGCATTCAGGCAATAAACATCACTTATGAGAAACTTACTATCCTTTCATCATACAAGTTTAAAATAACACTTCAAGATCCCACTCCATCTATAGTAATAATAGCAGCAGTGCTGGCTCCTGGTTCATTTGCTATAACTGTGGAGAAGTTGGACACATGGCCTGGGAATGTATAAGTGAAAAGAGGAACCTAGCTCAAAGAACCCAAAACAACCCTTCAATTTGAATCGTATCAAGATCATGAGATGTGAACTTTGTGGGACTTGAAGAAGATGAAGAATATACCTTTGAAGTCAAAGCAGAAGTATTCATGACTCCTGAAGCTTGCTACCAATCATATCCATTGCAGAATACCAGAAGTTGTATCAAAAACTTAGAGTTACAGGTTGAAGAAAGGCTAAGGAATAATTCACCTGCAACTAAGGTCCCTATAGCAAATCTTATAAACAGAGGTTCTGACCTTATAACTCTTACTCTAGACAATTTCACAACTCCGAGGCCTCATCAATAAAAGGGCCTATCAGAGATTGATAAACTGAAACTCTATAATGTTGCTCACAATCTTCTAAACCTAAAAGTGAATATTTCTATTAGCCAATTATTAAAGTACCCAAACTAATGAAGAAATCTAGCTCTAGCTCTAAAAAGGCTGTTCCTTCCAGAAGAGATTCTAACATCACTCCTTGAACTGATAAAGACAAATATTATCCAAAGAAAGGAAATCAATAAAACCACAACCACCCAATATTATATAAGAATAAGGAATATTCCTATTATTGCCATTCTTGACTCCAGTGCCACTATAAGTATAATGTTGAAAAGGACCATGAACAAGCTGAAGCTCCAGATTAATGAACTCTTTATCACTATTATCATAACTGCCAATGGAACCTGAATACAAGCCCTAGAAAGAATCAAGAATTTAAAATTAGTTCTTGCCAGTGTAATAGTTCTCATCATCTTTCATATTATCAAATTAACTGATGACATGCTGCTTCTCGGTATGAACTAGTTCAAAAAAACATATGCCCCTTATACTTTGATAAGCAAAAGCTCTTTATTAATTACATGAGACAACTGGCTGAAATTTTGATCTTTCACAATAGAGACTCTTCTCTGCTCAAATCTGATAACAAAGACGAATCTGAAGAAACATTTGATGAATTCAAATATGAGAATGAGGACTTGAAAAAGGCAGAAGGCTATTTTATTGAAAAAGTCTCAAGTTACAAACTGTATGATAATTCTTATAGAAACCATTTCCTCCTATTGTTTACTTGGCCAATATCAAAGAACTTCTGACCAAGAGAAAAAACCCTAAAGAAGAAACCCTAGAAGAAAAAATTAAAAAAACATTAATACCAAGGACCTAATCTCTGAACAACAAAAGGAAGCCTACATTCAACTTATTTGGGAAAAGAGTATTTTCGCAAAGGACATGAATGACTTAAAACAAATGAGCATATTGGTCCACAAAATCGACACTGGAACTGCAGCTCCAATCAAGCAAACACTATATCATGCCACCCCTAGTTTCAGAACCTTTATAAGAAAGGAAATTGAACAATTAAAGAAAAGAGAGTTAATTAAGAAATCCAAAAGCCCTTGGGCCTCCTTGATCATAGTTGTCTCCAAAAAGGATGGCAAATTATGTCTGTATCTAGATTTCTGAAAAGTAAATTCAATGATAAAAAAGGATGCCTTTTTGCTTCTCTGAATAGATGATCTACTGAAAGTTTTTGAAAATACATCTTGGTTTTCTACCCTAGATCTGATGTCAGGTTACTGGCAAGTCTGAATTAAAGAAGATGATTAGAAAAAAACTGCATTTGCCACAAGTTTTGGGATATACAAATTTCAGATCATGTCTTTTGGCCTATGCAATGCACTCGTAACATTTCAGTATCTGATGAATCATGTTCTAGCTGATTACATTGAAGAATTTGTTATTGTTTACTTAGACAACATTATCATTTACTTACGAATATTCAAAGATTATGTAACTCATATTGATGCTGTTTTTAGTAAATTAAAAAGTGTTAGTCTTAAATTAAATATAGATAAATGCTTCTTTTATAAGTTCCATCTGCAGTTTCTGGGTCATTTAATTGGCTGTACTAGTATTTGCACTAATAATAGGAATATAGAAAAAGTCAAAAATTTTCCTGCACTCCAACTCCTCTGTCAAATCTGTGGCTTTATAGGTTTGGCTTGTACTACCAGAAGTTTATATCTAAGTTCACTTCTATCACCTGCCTTCGCCTTTACTTACTAAGAAAAGATGTTGGTTATGAATAGAAATAAGAACAGAAAGTTGTATTCGAAGTATTAAAAGAATGTTTAATATCCACCCCAATATTAAGATACCCAAATTTTAACAAAACCTTTATTATATATGCCAATGCTTCTAGATCTGGATTGGGTGCCATTCTTGCCCAAAAGGATAACTATGGGAAGGAATACATTATTGCATATGCTAGTCAAAGACTAACAAAAGCTGAATGTAATTATACTACCATTAAGTTGAAATGCTTGGCTATTTTATAGTCAATCAAGCACTTCTGTCACTACTTTGGCCTTGACCTATTCATGATCATAAGTGATCATACAGCCTTAAAATGGCTCCAAACCTCTGAACTTATGGGCCACAGAGCAAGATGGGTATTAAGAATGCAATCATATAACTTCAAAATTATTTACTAAAAAGGTTGAAAACATACCAATACAGATGCATTGTCACAAATTCTCGAAAACTTGAAAGAAACCATAATTCTAACCCTAGACAAGCCTAAAAGAAGAAAAGGAAGAGAAAGAATTAGTACAAGACTGACAAATAAAAAAGAAGTGACCATTTAAAAAAAAAAAAATTAATAATAATAAAATAAATAAATAAAGAAGATAAATCTGATTTAGCAAACAAATCCAAATTTGGTTACCAGTATCCTGGCAAAAGTAATAGTAATAGATTCAACACATTATAACCATCTCTGCAGATATATCAAAATCAAATACCTGTCTCTCATGCTTGATCAAAACTACCATCGCTGAATCAAAAACAAAAGCCAATTTTTTGAAGTAAAAGAAGAGCTTTTATATAAAAAAGACAAAAGAAACCTAGGAAGAATATTACAAGTACTTCAAAAGCATGAAGTAGATTCCATTTTATATCTAATGCACATCCATTCTTTCAATATACATTTCTACAAAAATACAATGTTTGAAAAAATCTGAGAAACCTATTTTTGGCCACAAATGTATGAAGAAATATGTAAGTATGTCTGAACATGTGACCTCTGTTAATGACAAACTTGACCTCAGAACCAAGTCACACTACACCCAATATCCATTTCAGCTCCATTTCACAAGATTGGAATAGACTTTGTTGGTCCCCTCCCATGCAACCCAAGAATGAATCATTACATTCTTATAGCTACCAATTTCATAACTTGATGGCCTGAAGCATGTGTTATTCCAAAAGTGGATGCTTAAGCCATCGTAGAGTTTCTGTATAACAACAACTTTTGTCAACATGGATGTTCTAACTGAATTTAATCTGATAGAGGAACTTATTTTAGGAACAAAGTCATAAAAATATTATTAGAAAAACTTAAAATTTAACAAAGTTTTTCTATCTTATATCACCCCCATACCAATGGCCTTGTTGAATACTTTAATAAAACTCTTTGCGAATCCATTGTAAAGTTAGTGAAAAATGTTACTAATTGGGACTTATTAATCTCTTCGATACTATTCACTTACTATACCACCTAAATCTGACTACAAAAATATTCCTTTTCTTTCTTGTTATGGAGGAGAAGCCAGGCAACCCATCTACCTAAATCAAAGTGAAGAATTATTTGAAGGAACCATTATATAAAGTACTTTCAACTTAATCGATAAAGTATCAGAAAGCAGAAATCAAGTTGTTAAAATAATTCATAAAAATCAGAGAAAACAAAAGGCTTACCACAATCAACACCATCAACTGAGCTTTGGGTTTGAAATTGGTAACAAAGTCTTGTTAAAAAATGCTGTAAAGAAATACTTTTGTAGTGAAAAATTTGGTACAAAATGTAAAGGTCCATATTTTAATTATGCAAATTACCGAATGACACCTATAAGCTTCGGATGATAGAGGGGAAGGTGATCACTACACCTTTTAACATAAGCCTATTAAAGAGATATTATAATAGTAAGAATAATGAGCAATAGATCAGTAATGTGAAATGTAAAGGCCTATCTAGGTTACTTACTACAAGCAAGTTGAATATAATCAGTTGTATTTATAGGTAGTAGGGGGCAACCAAAGTACCAGGCCTTGATAGGTTACAGCAAGCTCAGGAAGCAACCATGGAGTGTAGAAGATATAATGTCCTGGACCCATATTCATAAAATATCATTGAACTGTTAGTGCATGCTTAGAGCCTATGACTATCCATAAGATCTTATAAAGGATCGCATAAATACAATCTTGCTTCATTTAATAGTATATAGATGTGTTTTAAAAAAAAAATTTTTGTTTTATACTTATAATTTTCTTGAATTAATTGATTGTATATGATAACTATATATATGATTGAGGACATATAACAAGAGATGTGATATTATCTTCACTTAAGTCGTAGATATGTTGTGTTTAATTAGAATTTAAAATTAGTTAGTTTTATTTATTGATCTAAGTTAGTTTTTATTCTCCTATATGATTTGGACCATTCTATATCCAATTTTTCACATGGAAGTGAAAAACTAGAAGGGAAGAAATTGTTAGAGGGAAATTTGGTTAAAACCATTACATAACAATCATTGGAAATGTGACCAAAACATGACCAAAATCGCAATCTGGATTGTGACCCAAATTAGTGATTATGTAATCCGATTTCTCCCCATTGTATGCAAGAGAAACCCTAAGATTTGGAACAAGCACCTATGATTGTAAGCCTGGGCTCCACATGTGACAATCATCGCTAAATCTAAAAAAGAAGAAAAACTTAGTAGAACCACTACAACATGCAATAAGGAAAATAATGTGATACTTACTTTCATAGGCTTACAACAGAACCTTCAAACCACAAAGACATTTAGGAAGATGTGGCTGTAACTTTATCAGCAGGACTTATGAAAAAAGAAGATAATTAAAAGACAAAATCATGAGTCAAAAGATGGGATTATACAATTAACAGAAAAGGAAACATTGGTGCAAGAAAGGGAGAATGTTCTGAAGCATACTTTCCTCATAATTTATTATAAAAGCCCTCTGTTTTGATATTAAGTGGGATGGGACCCCTCTGTCCCCCATACTCCTGAAACTTAAAGAAAATTATAATAAATTAATAATAAATAAAAACATTTATAAAATATAAAAAATATCAAGAGTGTAATAGACAAAATGTTCATTTAAAAAGTCTCTATACGTACCCAGTAACTTACTCGAGAGCCACCTTAGCCATTGCCAAATCGTATCACCTCATTTCACTTTCGAGTAACATTATGTGATGTTGATGATTTTGAAGT